ACTTTAAATCTTGCATGTTTATGAGACTGAGAAAAGACACCACAATCCTAACCACAAGAAACAATTACGACTTTCATTTTACACTCACTTGGGAAGACGGTAACCTCCCTGGGCGTTCTGCTTCCAACCTACTACCTAGGATGTGTTAGATTATAGAGTGAAATTGTTGAGCAGGTTGCAAGATATGCAAAAAGACGTCGTTTAACAGGGTTTTTTCCCTTGCATGTTTTGGTTATAGCACAATTAAAAGAATTGCGGATATTTTTTTTAAAACACTTCGTAATTTAGTTTAAACTTTTTTGGGGGAGGGGAAAAAAATATTGAGCGGGGTCACCCCCGGGGTGGGCGGGTTTGGGGGGGTTTACACCATTGAGAAATTCATAAATCAGTAAAGCAGTCAGTAACCAGTCATAAGTCGAGTCAGCAAATCAGCTAGTTTTTTTTAATTGTAGTTTTTTTTAAATTGTACGAACAGTACTTATTGGGGGCCATCTTAAGCTTATTTAATATCTAAATTTTTTTTGAAATTTCCCTAGATTTGAAGAAAAACCTTTTTTTGTCACTTGCGGGAACACTTGTATGCTTACGGGTCCCATGATTGCTTGGCAAATTTAACAAATGGCAATGAAAATAAAAAATAATATGTAATAATACACGATTTCCCCCGAGTAAAAATTATTGTCCTACACACATAAAACCAAAACTGAAGGGTGGGGGGGTGGCTGAGGGGGGGGGGGCTGGCGGTAGGCTCCCTCAGCCACCCACACCCACCCAATCCACCCACCCCACCCCCCCAGCCTTCAGTTTGGTTCATACGGTGTAGAAAAAAAATACTCGGGGGCTCACTGTGTTTATTTACATTGTATATTTTCTTTTTTTCATTGCCTTTTGTTAAACTGCCAAGCAACATGGGACCCAGTAAGCATACAAATTTCCCCCAAATACAAGAAAAGGTTTTAAGTGTTCAAGTCTAGGGAAATTTGCTGATGGCTCTTTACTGTGACTTTGCTTGATTTACTTGATTGATTTCAACTTACGACTGACTTGACTGACGACTTGCTGACTGACTTTACTGACTGACTTGACTTTACTGATTGACTGACTGATTTTTCTGACTGACTGACTGGTTACTAATTTTACTACTTGATTTACTGAATGACTTAAAAATAGATTTTTTTTACTGCAAGGACCCCGAAACTGTATAAGACAGCTGATGCCTTACCGTCATTGCATAAAGTACTCATGGTAAAATAAACAGAAAACCATTACAGAATTTATGCACACTCCATACAACCTCGCCCCAGTACCAAATTTCTACAACCACCTCAGCCCAGTAAGGGCACAGCAAACTTCCCCCTCTCTTCCATCACCGAAAACACCGCACCCACAATTTAAGTAAGAAAAAACTATTTTTCTGTTGCATTTTTAGCTTAACAGTAACAAAACATAACATCATACAATGAACTACAAATTTCATTCCCTTATTTTTTTTAGTCTAAAGGGCGAAAAAAAAAGTTTGGCTTTTTTTTGGGGGGTTTCCAAGAATGAACCCTATTTTTTCCCAAAGTTTTTCAGTTTGCTAACACGGCTTTTCAGGGAAAGTAAATACCGTGTTAGACGACGGTCTACGTAAAAAGGTCTCTGTTGAATCATAATAGATTAAAACCCCCTTTATGGTCAAGAGGGCCCTCTCCCAAACTCTTTCAGGGGCGAAAATTTTTGGAAAAAAAAAAAAAATTATATTTTTTTATAAAGATGGAGAAACTTTTTTTCCCGATCTATGAACAAAAAGTATAAATTTATGGAAAACTTACGGAATT